TGATACGAACGTCATTGCTCGTTAAAGCTTAATGTTTGACCAAGCCGTCACGTCTAACATAATTTAGAATCTTATATTATTTTATTTGTTAAAATAAAAAACCATTTTATTATAATTTTAAAATAGTTTTGTATTTATAATTCCAAACCGTGACCATTTTATTATAATTCCAAACAGGAGCTGATTAGGAAATCTCAAAATAATATGACATAAAACACACACTCACACTTGAGAAGTATTACACAAAAAATAAATTTGATGTTATTTTACAAGATAAATAGTGTTGCATAAAAAACTACACAAAATTTAGTATCTTGATAAAAGATGAAGCTTCACATTGAAAAACTAATCTCAAATTCTTATGTCAACATTGAAGTACCATAAGGGTGGAATGAGTAGTTGTCGTTAAATTCTCCGAACGTTTTGTTACCGTTAGTCACATGGAGTGGTGTTCCCGTCTATTGTGGGTACGCCAACATGCTCAACCCTCTCTTCCTTCTTCTCACTCCACTTTTTCCATCCTATTTGCATCTCCAATACCACACCATTTAAGTATAGACATTATTTTTGTGTCAAAATGCTGCAATTCAACTTCATTTTTAACATTAAAAGAAATTTAAGAATTGACAAGATTGCTTCAAAATTGATTATTTATATCCAATATGGGTGTCAAATCCAGCATTCATGTTATATTTTAGTTTTCATTACACAACATGACAATTATTATGTCAAATCAAACACTCGTGTTATATTTTTAGTTTTCATTACACAGCATTACAATTATTATATAACATGACACGACACAATGTTGTGTCAAATTTTGAACATGAACAAAACGTTACGTTTTTATACTAGAAATGAACATGAGTTTGGATTTGAATTTCGCCTCAAAATTCAAGTCGTGTATTTTGGTTGGGTTATGTCTTCGCAATGGTTTACCTTTCTAATATCAGTGGGAGAGGTAGCCAAATTAGGTAATAATATTAACCCAAAAACCACTTGAAAATATGTTCAAGTAATTGTTAGTTATCAAATTATAGTAAATTTTGTTTTAATAAGAGCTTACGTTCTTCTAATAGCATTTATATGTAAGAAATATGATCAACGTTCATAAACTATGTTTAAAAATATCTTTAGGTGCTCTGCTTTTTATGTTTTGTAGACGTACTATCGACAAAGTTGACCATTTCATTAAAAAATCATTGATATTTTGCAACAAAATAACAAATATAATGGTTTGAATGATTCACTCATGCATTCTTCATAGATTGTTTTGAATATCAGAAAGCACAGTATTGTAACAATATACTACAAAATATTAGCATCAACCCCCCCCCCCCCCCCCCCCCCCCCCCCC